TTTTTGTTTTTTTGTGTTTTTTTTTTTTTTTTTTTTCCTTTCTCCTGTTCTCCTGGTCCTTGTTGCGTGCTGCCTGGCTGCTGAGGGCTGTCCCCCTCCTCTGTTGCTATAGTGACTTCCCACAGGCACACAGCAGCGCTCTTTGGGCACCCGCAGTCTCCCTTCTGGGCTCCAGCATCCTTCTGCCACGACTGATAAAGATGTCAGAGATTGCTACAATTTTTCAGCAGTTCAGTAAAGCCTAATGTAGTCTTCCTGGCTAGAGGACTGTAGGAATGGAAGGTAATAAATAGTGAGCTTCTAATCTGGCAACTTCTTGCACCTTGGGAGGCTGGAAAGTATTTTCTTTATAGAGGTGCAGCCTGCGTAGGGGGTGAGGTTGTGGTGAGCAAATAGATATATCCTTGGCCTCTGCCTGCAGATCACCAAAAGCATGAAAAATGCACTATTGGTTTGAAAGTGCCTTGCGTCAGACCTGTCTCAGGAGACCAGTCCTGGCCTCGGACAATGAGAGAAATTGCAATTCCTCATCTTTTACCCTCCACATATGGTCTGGAGACACATGGTTGCTTCCTCGATTACCAGCCTGTCCCAGCCGCCCACCTGCCAGCGGGCATGTTAAATGGATGGGAGCGATGCTCAAAGGAAGCGCTTTGTTGCTCACTTTGATTTTCTGCCCTTGAAATCAACAGCACTGACTTCACAGTGGGTCAGAGGGAGAGCTGACATCATCGCTGTCCCCAGGAAGGGAGAAGAGAGGGAAATGGGTGCCAGGTTTTATTGTCTAGGGGCTTAAAAATGAGGCAGGTGTCTGGAAAGCTGGCTGAAAGGCAGGTTGGCAGCCTCCTCTGGACTCGTGGTGCTCTTTTGGTTAAATGACTTTGCTGTGTCCATTTTTGCCACCTGTGCAAGGGACAGGGTGACAATGTGTGACTGAAGGGCTGGCCACAGCCAGACCTAAGCCACCGTCAGTCGTCTGTGGGCATCTAAAGCTTTCCCCTCTGTCCATGTCCGCTCCCACTGCAATGGTGGTGACCTCAGTTTTGCACAGAAATAGGTAAAGAATAGGCGGGAACAGGGAGAGGTGCAATCTAAGCCTCCCCTTCGCTGTATCTTTCCTTCACTCACTTTCTGCTGTTGCCATCCTCTAGCTTCCAGGGAAGATGCAAAGAGACTAAAACCAAGTAAGGAGGTGCTGCCTTGGTCCTTCCCTCCCTGCCTCCAGTTCCTCGGTGTGGTCTGGGGTGATGGGAAAATCTCTTTGCCAAGGTCCAGAAGCATGATTTGAGACCAGCTGTGTTTGGCAGCGAAACATAGGCTTTAAGGAGGATCTGCAGATTAATCCCCCACTTTCCTGAGCATCTGTTCCCACAACCAACTCCTTGTTTACTGAGAATTTTGAATTTTGGAAAAGGACTTCAATGATCTGGTCTCTGATCTCTAGAATGGATCATCCCATGGAAAAATATGTGTTCCTCTCTCTGCATCTCCCTACACTTTTACCCTCTTTTTTTCTATGTCTGTGGCTGTTGCAGTCCTGTCTAAATTCTGGAGAACAGGCTGAGTTACTAGGTTTCATTCATCCTAATTAATTTGCGGGACTGGAGCCCAAATCTGACTGATACATCTGGGAAAACCACCACTGGGATGACTGTCCTTTTTCTGTAACTCCAGAAGAGCTTTTTCTGCCTTGCTTTCTGCATCACATTGTTTGTAGTGAAAGGAGACAAGCCCTGAGCTTTCTCAACTGCTGCTTTCCCTCATTAGGTTCAAAAAGATGTTGATAGTTGAACAGGAGAAAAGCAGCATCCATTAACAAAGCAGCAAACCTCAGCCAACCTCGTTTTCCTCCAAACACGCAGTACACCTAAGGAACTCCTCATCCCAGGCAGCTCTGGAGGCCTCGGGCTGAGGCTGCGGGACCCCACCTTGCCTTTCTGGGTTCTGCACAGGCTGTTGCTGTTGGGGTGCAAAAGCTTTTCCTTCCAGTGGACATCTTCCTTCCAGGTTGTCCTTGGCTGGACACACCCACAGGATGGGGCCATGTGCAGAAATCCTTGAATGTCATCTTGCACCATGCTGCAGAGGGAGTGGGGTTGGTCACAGGGGTCTGGAGCTGCGGCTCGTGCTGTGTTGGGTGGTTTCTCTCTGCCAGGCAGCCCCTGTGCAAGTGCTTTGCCAGTGCTGTCACGGAGAGGAGACCTCAGAGGTAGGCTTAGCCCTGCTGAAAAATTGGTTCCCCAGACTTTAATTTCACAGGTCAAATTGTGTTGCTGTGTCCCACCCTTCCCTGCCTGCAGGAAGACAGCAGCGCTCGCACAGAGCGATAAGGATGAAAAAGCAAATGTGGCCCAGTCTCTGCCTTGCCGGAGTGGAGATTGAAGATTGTCAAGCTCTGGTCTAATCTCCTTTCCTCTCCTTCACAGGCAGCTGAACTGGGAATGGCGTCTGCCTATTACACGTATATCTTCACTAATCTGGTAAGATGTTTTTCTTGGCTTTTCTACCGTGTGTGTGTAGAGTCATGTTAATGGGAGCTGATCTCCCTGGCCTGTGGGAGCGTTGGAAAGAGCCAAGTGCTTGCGGAGCGGGGAATTTGTGGCAGAGGGGGAGGGAGGCAAGGAGGGCTGTCCCCGTGCAAGCCTGAGCATCAGTCAGGGAAAGTCTTGCCCTGGTCTTCAGGAGGTGAAAGCCAACAGGTGCCCAGCAGCACCGATCGATCCCATGCAGCTGCCAAAGGCAGGATTTGTACACGTTGCGGGCGGAGCCAGTGTGATGAGATGTGCGGGTCCTTGGGAAGCACCAACAGATGGGTGGTTCCTGACCGAGGGCTCAGGAGGGTTACGCTGGAGGTGTCAGCCCCCGAGCCCGTTCCCCGCACTGGGAGAAGGGCAAGCTGTGCTGGGGCGTGTGTGCAGAGGGCACTGCGGCCCCATGCTTTTCTGCTGTGCCTCTGAGAGTAGCTGTCTAAGACAAAGGAGAATGATACCATAAATGTTGAGAGGCAGAGCAGGGTATATCTTCAGCATGGCCCCTGGTGATTTGGCTTTATAGCTACTAATAACATTAATGGGGGAATCGTGTGGTTAAATCCCTGAGTACTGTGCTAAACAAGGAGTAATGGGCTTAGGCAGCAGCAGGGGGAAACCCAAAATAAACATCAGAGAAACTTCTCTTGCTGCAGCAGCTACAAGGCTCTTGAACAGGCTGCCAAGTGGTGTGGGGGAAATGCTACCACCGGGGAGACCAGATACCTACCTATTAATGCTGGTGTGGGGATGATGGAAACCTGAGTGCAGCAGGATGGGCTGGATGATTAAGTGAAGGTGCCTTCCAACCCCAAATGATACGCATATTCTCTAATTTCTATTAATATTTATGCCAGAGTGTGCGTGTGCCAGGAAAGCCGAGAGCTGAATCACGCTTTGTGTTTGGGTGGGAGACAGACGGGAACGGATGGAGCCAAAAGTGTAGGCAGGAGAGCTGGAGTGGAGAGGAGGAGGGGGAAAGAGGGAAATGGAGGGGTTGAAAGCCAAGAGAGCAATTGGGACAGAGAATGGAAAAGAGATAGGGAAAGGAGATGTCAGAAAAGAGAAAAATGCAAAAAACTAGAAAAAGCCAGAGGCTTCCTACCTGAACTAATGGCATTCTGATTCCTGCTTAGCGCTCGATCCGTAGGTCCTAACCTTGCTCAATATCAGTCCAGCAAGAGCAAGCTTCACTGCTCCTGTTTATCCCCATGCAAATGATCAGCACTGGGCAGGACAGCAAAGGGAAGGGATGTACGTGGACGGGATCAGCCGGTGATGGATGCTGGGGGAAGAGCTGCACCCTCAGGAGGTGAAGGTCACTTGTTTTAAGGCAGTGGCTGCTGGTTTGTGATTTCTCACCCCCAGTGCCAGCCCCAAGTCAGAGTGCAGCTGTGCTGGTGCTGCTGGTAGAGCTGGTAAGGGATGGTGGCCATCCCCATCAAATCCTGCTCACAACGCTAAACCACTCCAGTCATTTCCCAGACCTAGCAAGTAATTTTCTTGTTGCCCTCTGGTCCCAACAACTGTTTCTTCTTCCACTTGCCCTCCCCAGTCCCAGCAGTCACTGTGCACCGCACGGACCAGGACTATGCACAAAGCAAGGGATTTCTATGTATACATCACCAGCACAGTGAAGTCTGTGTTCCTGGATGGTGCTCAGACAACAGAAATAACTATAAAAATTAAGCTCCCCACCGCCGCCACCACCACCACACTAGTTTTGAGCATGGGTGTGATTAAGCGTTTGCTTGAGGTCAAGAGGTGAAATTTGTCTTTGAAACCCATTCATCTAGTGTAATGCAGTTATGGCAGCTGAGGAAGAAATGAGTTTTGTTGCCATTCACTCTCACAGGATATTAATCGGTTTACCCAGGTTATTTTACCACTTTGTCCAAAAGACCAGCCCTCAGCAGAACTAACTGGATTTTTGGCAGGGACAGTTAAAGAAAGGTGACATCAGGCAAAACCAGGGCAGATGGAAGAGATGTTTAAGGAAATTAGTAATATTTAAATGGGGATGAGAGATGGGAGTGAGCAATTTAGACTAATAAATCTGGAGGGATTATCAAGCTCCTAATGAACCCTCTGAGGTTTTGCTATCACTGCCTAATAGAAAAGATAAAATCATAGTGAACTGCTGTCAAGGGGAGCAAGCAAAAAGATGGCTTTAAACAGAAGGACAACCCATCAGAAGGGGAATAGACAGTCTGTACAGCATTAAGCTACTTGGAGATGGAAAAATATTTCAGGCAAAAAAAGAAGAGAAAAGGATATAAAATGCTGAATTAAACACCTGCCCAGCGGCACTAGAGGGGAATTCTGTTTCTGTCTTCCAGCATTAATTTTATTTAATAAGCACATCCCAGCCGACAGCTAGTTGTGTGTCGCAGCTTTTCTCTCTGTGGAGCATTAGATGGAGGCAAGTTGCTGCAACTCCCCTGGCACCGGTCCATGGGGAGAGCGATTCGGGGGTGACGGCTGCTCCGTAGCCAGCCTGATGACTGCAGATAGCGTCAGTGTTGCTCTCACCGCCATTCAGCGGGGAGGCAGAGCGGCGCGTGAAAGCAGATGCCAGCCTTTGGCAGGAGATTGCGGGAGCAAATGAGGAGGAAGTCCTCGGCCCCCAATGCATTTCCATCGGAGCCGAGGCGAGCAGCCTGATGTAAAAATATCCACAGGCTAATTTACTGCATGTGAATTCATTATCAGCCTCCTTCAGCCAGCTCAAGGGACCCTTTTTGTCAGCAACAGAAGCTCAACAAATTTTCCAGGAGTCCTAATGAAACTCACAGAACAGAGCATGTCTGTTGCATTTTCCTTCCCTACGTCCATCCTCTGTGTACGGGGTACTCGTGGCAACTGAGCACCCTTGTTCTCACTCCCCTTGCAAAAAAAAAAAAAAAAAAAAAAATCTCAATTTGACCCAATTTTTTTCGTGGCGCCCCCCCACAGGGACAAAACCCTT